CGTCTTCTAGGGCAGGTTCCGTGACAGACGACCACGAAGATAGCTGTGCACCTAAATTCCATCTACCTGTCATCAACGTTCAGCAGTTCAGCGGTGACTTTCAGGAATGGTTGGAATTTCGAGATACGTATCTTTCAATTATCCATAATAATAATAACATCTCAAACGTACATAAATTTCACTATTTACGCGCAGCTTTGAAGGGTACTGCGTCATTAATAATTCAAAGTTTAGATGTAACAGCAAACAATTATCCAATTGCATGGCAATTATTAACGGAGCGATATGATAACATACGTCTTTTAATCAACAATCATATACAAGCCTTAGTAAATACGAAAAATATATCCTCTGAAAGTAGTTTGGAAATAAGAAATGTTATTGATGTGATGAATAAAAATTTAAGAGCACTTGCAACATTAGGTGAACCTGTCGATCACTGGGACACAATTATTGTTTATGTAATATCAAAAAAATTAGACCCAGTTACGAATCGGCTATGGGAAGAATACAGATGCAGCTTAAGTTGTAACTCACCAAGTTTACAACAATTCATTAAATTTTTAAACAATAAGTGTGATGTATTGGATACATTGAATGCGGGAGTAACTATTCCTATTATACATAACGTCAAACACTCAAAACTTCAATCACACCCTTTAACTTATAATAATAATAATTACAATAATTCATTTAGCAAAAAAGAGTTAATAAATACCGACAAGAAAAATTATAATAAAAACATTACATGTCCTATGTGTTCACAAAATCATTTCTTATTTACATGCCCTTCATTCATTAAACTTGATGTAGATTCTCGTATAAAAAAAGCCACCGAAAGTAGAGTATGTATGAATTGCTTACGTCCAGGTCATGTCCGTAACCACTGTAGATTATCAAATTGCAAGTATTGTAATTCTAGACATAATACTCTATTACAATTTAGCAGAAATTAATATTAACTTTAACTTCATACCAGCATATTCTCCCCACTTTGGCGGTATTTGGGAGGCGGCCGTCAAATCGGTAAAAACTCTTTTACGTCGCGTTTTAAACTTAACACATCTAGTTTATAAAGAACTTTTCACCTGTTTGTTTCAGATAGAGGCAATTCTGAATTCTAGACCTCTCACACCTTTATCCACAGATCCTTCCGACCTTACCTTTTTGTCGCCAGCCCATTTCCTCATTGGACGGTCACTCATGTCAGTACCATATCCTTCACTTGAAGATGCTAATATTAATCGCATTCAACGATTTCAGAGAATTGAAAAGCTTAGACAGCATTTTTGGAGGCGATATTCACAGGAATATATATTTCAACTACAGCAGAAAACTAAATGGCATGCTTCATCTGGCGAACTGAAGATAGGTGATCTGGTTTTGGTCAGGGACCAAAATGCACCGCCTCTGCTATGGCTCTTGGGACGGATCACAAAACTATCAAGGGGCAGTGACGGAGTATCCAGAGTTGCTGAAATACGAACAAAGAAGGGACTTATTGTTCGAAGTTTTAACAACCTCTGTCCCCTTCCACTCAATCAGTCTTGAAGACTACGCTTCAACGCCGGGGAGTATGTTCGCGACGTCTTGTTAAGAACAGAGGAAGACCTCGCACCGTGCGTGCGCCCGCACATTTGAGACGTCCTATGCCTTGAACGTCGCTTTGACCGCTGGCGAGATCTGCGTGAGCTCCGGGGGCGTCACTCAATATCGAACACTGGCGTAAACGAACGTTTCCCGTACCTTCTATTATTCTTTGCCTCAATACGTTAATTTCTACATATTATGTAAATTGGAATCGAATAAACCTATAAGTACTACAGTCTACTCGTGTATCAATCAACAACAAAAATGGTCGTGACCATTTTTGTTGTTGATTGATACACTGGTTTGATACAATGATCGTGATCGAAAATTGATACAATGGTCGTGACCATTTTTGATGTTGATTTGTCAATATCGAACACTGGCGTAAACGAACGTTTCCCGTACCTTCTATTATTCTTTGCCTCAATACGTTAATTTCTACATAGTATGTAAATTGGAATCGAATAAACCTATAAGTACTACAGTCTACTCGTGTATCAATCAACAACTCACCTGTGTTGAGGAAAGGAAATTCGAGACACGTTCTTTCAGCTGGTAAGTGACCCATAATGGGTTGTACTGATTTAGCATTAAACCTTTTACAACGAATACAAGCACGAACTATTGATTTTGATAAATTTCTTCCACCCAGAGGCCAAAAATTCTGTCTAACGTTAGATAAGATTAGTTGAGGGCCAGCATGAAATAATTCTTTGTGTTTAGCTTCAAAAATAAGTTTAGTTAAATGATGTTTTGAACACAACACCACCGGGTGCTTAATATCATACGTGTAACATGAATTAAGTACTAAGTCTACCACCTACTCTTATAAGATTATCTGAATCGAGGAAGGGAGTAAGTGATTTGAGTCTGCTACTCTTAGGTACTGGTTTAGATGCTTTAAGTATGGCGTATTCATCAGGAAACATTTCCTGTTGAGAATAACTAAGAAGATGTTGTTGTGATGATCGTAATTCTGATAAAGTAAGGAAGTTATTATGTTTAGATGTCTTATTTTTGCAATTAAAAATGAAACGTTGAACGTATGCAAATACTCTTACTAGTTTTTTATAATTTGATAAACCATAAATTAATTGATGTAGTGAATTGATATTATTTTGTTGTTGTATATCAATATGAAGTGTAAGCTCTGGAAGTGTTATTGTATGTATGTTTGGAGATGATGGAATTTTTAAAATCAAATTATTTAAAAATTCTGGGCCCTTCCACCAAAGTGCGGAAGCGCTGAGGAAGTCAGCATTCACCCCACGAGAAGCCAGATCAGCAGGGTTCAGCTTAGATGGCACATAATCCCAGGTGTGTCCCTTTGTAATTTCCAGTATCTCATTAACTCTATTTCGTACAAATTGCTTAAGAGAACTTGACTCTGTGGAAAGCCAACCCAAAACAATTGTCGAATCACACCAAAAAAAGCAACTATTGAACTTCATAGTTAAAGACTCTATCACTTTTTTATAGAGCCTTGTGCCTAGTAAAGCGCCGCATAGCTCCAAGCGAGGTATTGTTATAGTCTTTATAGGCGACACCTTATTTTTTGATGTTAAAAGACGAACTTGCACTAATCCGTCAATTGAGATCGTTCTTACATAAACGCATGCGCCATATGCACGTTCTGAAGCATCGGTAAATACATGTAACTGCATTTCCCGAAGATCATCTTGCGCTATCCAGCGTGGTATATGTATGGTGTTTAAGTGAGAAAGAGAGTTAACAAAGTTATTAAATTCCAATATAATTTGCGACGGAACCTCATCATCCCAGCCACATTTATGTACCCACAGTTGTTGTAATATATTTTTGGCTTGTAAAATACACGGTCCAACCAGACCCAAAGGATCGAAAACTTGACTTATGAAAGATAAAATATTACGTTTTGTGTATTTATGTGTAAAGGTGTGGTTAATTGAAAAATAAAAAGTGTCATGAAAGGTGTCCCAGAATAAACCTAATGTTTTTGAAGGAGAAGGATCAAGATTAAGGGTTTTATGTTGTTCACTTTTTTCATCATTCGTTATATTGTTTATAATTGTTTGGCTATTTGATTGCCATTTTTGCAAGTGCAATTTCGCGGACTCTAGTACATTCTTTATTTCTTTGACCAAAGCGATAACGGACTCAATAGAGTCCCCGCCACCCAAATAGTCATCCATATAAAAATCATGTTTAATGGCATACTGTACTAACAGGTTAGGAGTATCTTTAGCGAGGGACACTAAACATTTAGTGGCTAAATAAGGGGCCGATGAGGTTCCGTAGGTAACTGTATTAAGAGTATATGTTTTGAGAGATTCGTTAGTGTTAAATCTAAATATGATTTGTTGTAAGGTGCGTTGTGATTTGTGCAATAAAATAGATCTATACATTTTTTCCACATCTCCAGTAATAGCGTATTTATGTTGACGAAATCGTAATAATATAGACATAAGATCATCTTGTGTTTTTGGACCCACCATTTGTATATCGTTGAAACTCTTACCAGCTGTCGTGGCAGCGGATGCATCAAACACAACGCGCAACTTTGTTGTTGTACTCGACTCTCGTATAATACCGTGGTGTGGCAAGTAAAAATTATATTTATTTGTGGAATGTGAATTAGGTAAGTTTTGGGTCATGTGACCTAGATTAATATATTCTCTAATAAATTCGTCATAATTTTTCTTGTATTGAGAGTCTCGTTCAAACCTATGCTCAAGTGCAAGAAACCTTCGCTTAGCTAAGGCATATGAATCACCCAGACAATCTGGTGAAGTCTTCAATGGTATTGTCACTACAAATTGACCAGACGAAGTACGATATGTAGTGTTATTAAATATTTCTTCACAAGCTTTTTCTTCCTGAGAATATGAGTACTGAGATGAAATTGAGTCTAACTCCCAAAATTTTGCAAGAGTAAATTCTTCGTTATTGTTCAATGTATGATGACATACATTACGAGTTTGAACGTTATTAGCATATATGCATCCAGATACAAGCCATCCTAGTTTTGAGGAATGTAATTTTGGATATGTTGAACCAATATTGCGGTTTTCTGCATTTAAAACTGCCCAAAATATTTCTGCACCCACTAAAATGTCAATAGAAGAAGGTAGGTGGAATTTAGGGTCAGCTAATTTTATTTCTGAAGGAATTGGTATATGCTTAATGTTAACGTACGAATTGGGTTGGGTGTGTGAAATTTTTGGCAGGATATAACAAGTAATATTTGCTTTATAATCACTAAAGTATGACTCAAAATTTAGTTCGCATATTTGGGTGGCCCGTGTGACTTGGTTATTAATCGTAGAGATAGTGGAATCAGTGTTATATCTTACCAAACCAAGCTTATTACACATATCTTCTGTAATAAAATTACAAGTGCTTCCATTGTCAAGCAGAAGTCTGGCTGTGTGTTATTTTCCGTCTTTGTCTTTTACACGTACCAACGCTGTAGATAATATGACGTAAGCAGTGTTACAAGATGAATTGATGTTTGTCGAAAGTGCTACATTAGAAGAAGATGGGTCTTTATGGAAATTATCTTTATGCAATAGAGTATTATGTCTAGAATTACAATACTTGCAATTTGATAATCTACAGTGGTTACGGACATGACCTGGACGTAAGCAATTCATACATACTCTACTTTCGGTGGCTTTTTTTATACGAGAATCTACATCAAGTTTAATGAATGAAGGGCATGTAAATAAGAAATGATTTTGTGAACACATAGGACATGTAATGTTTTTATTATAATTTTTCTTGTCGGTATTTATTAACTCTTTTTTGCTAAATGAATTATTGTAATTATTATTATTATAAGTTAAAGGGTGTGATTGAAGTTTTGAGTGTTTGACGTTATGTATAATAGGAATAGTTACTCCCGCATTCAATGTATCCAATACATCACACTTATTGTTTAAAAATTTAATGAATTGTTGTAAACTTGGTGAGTTACAACTTAAGCTGCATCTGTATTCTTCCCATAGCCGATTCGTAACTGGGTCTAATTTTTTTGATATTACATAAACAATAATTGTGTCCCAGTGATCGACAGGTTCACCTAATGTTGCAAGTGCTCTTAAATTTTTATTCATCACATCAATAACATTTCTTATTTCCAAACTACTTTCAGAGGATATATTTTTCGTATTTACTAAGGCTTGTATATGATTGTTGATTAAAAGACGTATGTTATCATATCGCTCCGTTAATAATTGCCATGCAATTGGATAATTGTTTGCTGTTACATCTAAACTTTGAATTATTAATGACGCAGTACCCTTCAAAGCTGCGCGTAAATAGTGAAATTTATGTACGTTTGAGATGTTATTATTATTATGGATAATTGAAAGATACGTATCTCGAAATTCCAACCATTCCTGAAAGTCACCGCTGAACTGCGGCACGTTGATGACAGGTAGATGGAATTTAGGTGCACAGCTATCTTCGTGGTCGTCTGTCACGGAACCTGCCCTAGAAGACGTTGATGAAGTAGCAGCATTCATCATACTACGCGCCAAAGCAAGGAGTGAATAATATTGTTCTTCGTATTGGAGGCGTTCCTTGTATTCGTCCTCAACCTGCTCCGACAATGCCTCAATCTCCATCTGTAACGCGTCAAATTGGTCGTATACCGCATCAATTTTTCTAAGCCGGCATTCTAGTTCCGATTTTTGTAGCTCAGACAAGACAACCAAATCTTTTATAAGATTCAAAAAATTATTAAATGATGTAAGTTTGGCTTTAAGGCCTCCACGTTTTTTAATTAGGTCTTTATGGGAAGCACTGGCCATTTTGATTCTTAACACTCTTAATTAAAACAAATAATAAGTAATAATTATACACTTTACTCACAAAAATCGATTTCAACTAAAGAAGTAAAAAGAAGTATTTTTTTTTATGAGTGGGTAATAAGAACGAACACCTAATAAATATGCAACATGCAGCATGTATGAATGTAATGAAATAATAAGCTTATTACGTGCTTATCTATAGAAAATTGTTATAGGAATAATTTTACGATTATTGTCGAAACGTAGATGAAAAGTTTTATCCTCAATAATAATATAATATGTCTAAAAATAATTTTACGAAAAATGCAGTAGAAATTAGACACAATTCTGAATTCCTGGAAAATGGATAGGTGATATATAAGTATGAGAAAGGAATTGGAACGAACTCACTCAGTGCTGTTTTCCATTTTGGATCTCCATATGCATATTCTTTTAGTTCTGAAGTATTTTCAAGTACACATAATGGCTGCCATAATGATGCTTAGATTTAATTTCTGATATGCTTCTGGTTCATTTTTAATCGAAGGACCATTTTTTGTGTAGTGTTTACAAAGCAAGCTTTTGACTGATTTTTTAGTATGGTTAAATAATACATACTTATTTGAGTAACACTACTAATATTCATGACAGTAGTCATTACTAATACTATACTAATAGTAGAATTGCTACTATTGCTTTAAAATAGTATAAATTGCGTTGTCCATGTTATACCCGATGGTGAAGGCAGACTATAAAGAGCAGCGAGCTACTAGGACTACGTTTAGCCAAATGTATGGGTATAGGTTGAAATTTGAAACATTAACATTTTTTGGTCCAGTTCGAAGAAAAACTTGGGTGATTTTCAAAGTAATTTTTTATTTAAAGAAATATATTCCAAAGTAACCTTGATCAACAAACCCCGGACAGAAAACGAATTAAGTTCCAATAGAATCGAGCAAAAATCTTTTCCAATGCACAGATTGGCGCTAAATGAGTAACAAGATAAGCAAGGTAAGCAAATAAACACGAGATTTAAAGAGTCCGATGTAAGTAAAGTGAATAGATTCTTAATCAGAGTTTTCCCTAAAATTCGTACACAAATAAATAAAAGGTTTAACAAAAAATACTTAAGAAATAAAAAGGAAAAAAAAGGAAAAAAATTATTTGTAAAAAACAAAATTTGTTAAATAAAGTTGAACAAACATGTTATGCCATTTTGAAGTTAAAGTTACAGCCGACATACATACGTTGCGCTGCTAGGTTTTTAAGGCAAGATGTGTCCGCCGAGCTGTTCCAATGCTTGTTGGCGGACTTCACATCACTTCAAAATTTATATTATTAGGTATGCATCTTTTCTCACGATATTTTCTTCACCGCTGAATTTGTGGTAAATCAGCGTTGAAATAGCAATTTAATCAGTGCCGGTGAGGATTGAACTCGGGCTGCTTGCATATTGTGTTATTATTTAGCCCTTGAGCTATCACGATGACTCTTGCCATGCAAAAATTAATATACATTAATTACTAGCTGAAATTACATTTTGAAATTATTTCATATGTCGTACCTTGAGAAGAACAAAAGCATGCGTGTAAAAAGTACATTTTGCAGGAGAGCGAAAAAACTAGTTATTTTTTAATATCTTCTTATTGAAGAATCTCGCAATTTCGCCTTTTTAATGAAAAATTGCGTCAAAAAATACTCTTTTCTTTAATTAAACAAGCTAAAAGTAGAAGTTAATGTTTAACTAGTAATTAACTTTTATTTAAATTACGGTACTCTTTATTAGCCTCTTTTTTAAACCAGAAATGTTTGAATAGATACACCAATGTTCTTTAGAAAATTAATAATTTTAGAAAAAATATTCGTGAATACATCACCAAGGAATGGAATCAGGTTAAAAAGAAACTAATATTGTGCTTTTTTTCACTGAACTAATTTGCTAAATAATAAAAAAAAAGTATTCTTTATGCCTTTTTTCTAATTAAAAATATGAGAAGTGCATGTGGTTAAAAACATTAACACCTTTTCTCTCGCGATAATATCTTCATATGACAGAATTATACTATGTTATGGGAAAATAAGTTAATTATTTAATGAATTAATAAAAGCATATTAATTTTCAAATCAAATAATTTTTTTTAAATAAAAATCAGACCATGCCGCTATTTATAATAAACTTAACTTTTATTAAAAACAGTAATTTAAAAAATCTCTCGCCTAAAATTAAACTAAAAAATTAACGTTATCTTACGTATGAAATGAGATCATAGGTTTCAAAATTATTTAATAATTGTTTAGGAACTTTCCATGTGGAAACAACTTATTCTTATTAAAATTAAAAGCAGCATCTGATGTACATAACAAAATTAAAACCTATGAAGTTTAATAATTAAATTACAATTCAGTATTTGGAAACTGCTGACATGGAAACCACTTATACTCCTAAAAATTTAAAACAGCATCTGACATGGACTAGGATATTCGCGGTTAAGAATATCCACTACCCCATATCTTCACGTGGGTGTCGTAAGAGGTGACAGTTGAAAACAGCCAGAAGTTGTACAGCTGCATTTTCCCGATAATTTAATGAAAAGACTGTGGTTGCCAACCCGCTTGCCAAGCGTGGCAACTATGGCAAATATCCCCCTCATTAAAGTTACGAAGAGACGGCACTCAGTTCCTGGCGGCCCAGCTATTCCTGGCTACGGTGGCGACCATGGTAACGGCGGAGCAGGGGGTGCTAAGAATCTCCGAAGGAGGTTTGGTTGCCACCTAAGACGACTAGACCTGGCAACATACACCAAACGCACCCTGAGGACGGACGAGAAAATCATGGAGCTGGAAAAATAAATATACAAGTTACGCTGGCATATTATAGGAATAGCTTACCACCAGCGATTTTTCCGGACCGATACGACTTAGGGACCTTCAAGAAAAGAGCCTACTCCTTTTATGATGATGATTGAGGATAAATGTAGATGTCTATGGGCCACAGCAACCACTTACCATCAGATGGACTGTGTGCTCGTTTGTAATCCTATCCTATAAAAAAAAGAAAAAAGTTTATGACGACCAGACGACAACTGTTCAGTGATGTCTCAGTGATCGCGACGGTGAAATCTGGTAGCGATCACCGAATGGTTAGAGGTAAACTGAACCTAAACGTTAAGTTTGAGAGGTCTCGTCTAATTAAATAATCGCTTCTTCCCCCTCGTGCTCTAATCCAAAGTCCCGAAACCTTTCAGCTAGAGTTACAAAACCGTTTTCAGTGCCTAGAAGACTTCTTAATTCTGATGGCTGTTAGACGGGAAATGAAGCTGCAGTCTTCATTAGATTTGACAGCATACAGGCAACCGAATAGACAGATCTCTAAATGCATGCGGCGGGACTTACGCAGCTTTAATACAACTTGTATTGAAGAATCGATCAAGCGGAAGCTAGGCTCAAAAGTCTTTGCCAGAGATCTGCCTGCCAGAAAGAGCCAACTGTCAAAGCTGAAGTCTGAGTATGGTAGCATCGTTTCCGGGACACCTAAGATTTTGAGTGATATTGAGAGGTTTTATGGGCAGCTGTACACGTCAACGTTGCAGCCGCACGCAAGTGTAAGTAACGATACAAGAGTAAGTGTTATCCGATACTATTCCGATTATATTTATTTTGTTTTATAGGAGAGAGGGCAAACGAGCATGCGGCTCACCTGATGGTAAGTGACTACCGCCGCCCATGAACAATTGCAACACTAGGGGAACCAGGGGAACTGCAGATGCGTTGCCGGCCTTTTAAAAAGGTGTAGGCTATATATATATATATATATATGACGGCACCAGCACCATTGCACGTGCGGCGCCGTTGGTGTAGCTAGACAGAATTCTTATAAATAACACGTGTTCCGCACACCTGCACCATTGCACCTGCGGTGGCGCCTGTTTTGCTTGTATAAAACGGACGGAGCGGCCGCCGTTAAGGCAGTCTTGGCTCTGACGTGGAACGGTGCGCTTGTCGTATTCAGTTACTAGTTTATCCTCGACTCGTTGGATAATTAATTTGTGTAAACGAATTAGTTATTATTCCTAACTACAAAATCAGTCTCTGTACTATCCCCACTATACTTCCTACATCAGAAGTGGGATAAAGTCCCCCTTATTGCCCACATATAATCTCCGAATAGTATGAGAATTATTACATTTGTAAAGGCTATAGGTAATGCATTTCGCGTTGATGGATCTCTTTTTATGTTAAATACCGTAATGAAATTTGCTGTCCTACTTAGTTATTGTCGTATCATTAAAGTGTAGAAAAAAGATAAAGTGAAATTATTTAAGCCAAAAGATAAATCCTTTTGTTCGATTTGTATTAAAAGTACCCTCTAGTATTTTCATTATTTCTGACGTACCTAAATATGTTAACAAATGGAAAAAATGTCCGAGGCTTTCTAGACGAGTCATCGTTTGCATTGAATGAAAAATTTACTTTTTCAAGTTTTGTTGTAATTTGATAGTTCATGCGAAACATAATTATCATCTGATATATTTTGGAATTCAAAACGTTTAAGCGATGTACCAAAATAAAGGATTAACTTTAACATGCTAGGAATTGAAAATAATAAGTGACATTTTTGTGTTCTAATGTGTTGATCAGTGTTGCAGTTTGCTCCGAATACTGTGTGGTCGACAAGATTGGGGTTTGATGTCGAGAGATTCGTAGAAGTCTCTACAACAATGATCAATGAGGAAGATGTTGTGACGGCTAATCGAACATGGTCAGGTACGGCCGAGCGCTAGTAAGATTGAGCCTACACCGCTACAGTCTGTAACTTATCGGCAGATCTTACGGCAAGGTAATTCAAGCGGCCGCCGAACACATGGTCCTTTGGTGCTGTAAATGAACGTCTGAGGCTTGGTCAGCATTCGTAGATTTTGCGCAGTTGCCTCCTTCCCTTTGAAATATGTGATGGTATCCGTCTCTACACATAGTTACCGTTTTTTTGCAATGTTTTCAAATGTCATACAGTTGCCGTTTCT